GGTATTGTAATATTAATAGTTGTTAATGTAATGGTTCATGATAATAGAGAGAGTTTTACCTATTGAAGAAAGTGTTAGAGCTAAAGAAAGTGTTAGAGCTAAAGAAAGTGTTAGAGCTAAAGGTATTTATTAAGTTTTTTGTTTATTTTTATCTATGCAAGTATAGAGACAGTTGAACCCACTACAGATATTAGTACTGCAGCCAAAGAGAGCAATAGAACTAAAGGTACTATTATGGAATTTTTGAACAAAGACAATTGTGCCTGCCTACGCAAGTGTTACAGGTTTTTAATTGTTATTATTGACTTATGTAGAAACAGAGAGAGTTATACGTACTGCTAAGGGGAGTAAGGGAAGTGTTAGAACTAAAGGTATTAATATACTAGCTTTTTATAAATGTTGATGTAATATAGAAACAACTGTAAGTCCTGCTAATGCAACTACTGCTAAGAAAAGTGCTAAAGGTGTCACATAATTCTTTTATTTTATTTTATTATTTTTAATATAAAATCAGCTGATTATCCTACTGCAAAGAAGAGTGTTCAAAGTATACAATAATTTATTTTGCTATTAATTTTATAGTTTATGCTTAGGTACACATAGAGTTGATACAAGAAGGAGTGTCAGAACCAGGGGCGTAGCTGAGGTAGGGCCTGAGGGGGCCTGGGCCCTACCATCAAAGTGGCCTTATAATTATATTCATTGAAATTACAACCCAAAAGATTATATTCGAACCTGCTCCCCCAGCTTATGAGACCGGTAACGTACCCTTCGTCCACTCTGCTCTGGGCTTCCCTTGGGCCGGGCCGGGTCCGAACCGACCTCCCCATAGTTATGAGCTACATGCTTGACTTATATTCATTGTTCTTACAATAACAAAAGGGGGTGGCTGATAACCACAGCTCTTTTTAAAGCTATATACAATGATAATTTCACTCTGATTTCGCTCAGCTTGCAGGAAAATGCTTCCATTTTGTTACGTAAAAGGGGTGTGGCCAAAATTGCGGCGCGCTTCACGCGCCATTTTGTCTCCTTGCCCTACCATCACCCAAGGTCCAGCTACGCCCCTGGTCAGAACTAAACGTAGTAAAATTTTAATCATTATTATTATCTTTATTATTATTGATAATTACAGAAATGGAAAGAGTTGGACAATGTACAGTGAATAATGGTATTGCTAAAGGTATTTATTTTTAATTAATAATTTATGACGATTTATTATTCAGTAATACAGATGCAGTCCCTCCTACTACTTATGCTACCAAAAGGAGTGTTAAATCTAAAGGTAAAGGATAACATCTTGACATAGTCTAATTATACTACAATAATAGTCAAGTCTGATTGTTCCCTAAAGCAATGTTCACATCCTGATGAGTCTAATTGGGTCTTTTGTTGCAGCTGCAACCAGTGGTATCACTGTTATTGTTATAAAATTTCATTTCAAAAGGCGAAATCAAAAAACTTTAAATTTACATGTAACAACTGTAAATAATAACTAATTTTAATAATAATCAATAATGTTAGGCGTGTCCGTTTATTGTAGAAGAAGTTAAATATTTTTTATGGTAGCTGAGTGTACCTAAGAAGCCGGCTGTGTGATCCTTTTTGAAGAAGACAGTCAGTACTAAAGTTCTGGTGGTATAAAACTATTCTTTGAATAAAGTTTGCTTCGTTGTGGTTAAGTGACGAAAATTGAGTGAACTCGGCCGATTATCGTGTGAATCCACGAAGTGTGTTTAGCAAGTTATATCTTTACAAAGAAAGAAGGTGATGCTTTGATTTTTTTCCATGCAAACAGGTATTATAATGATCTATATCTAGTGCAAAAATCACTGGAAAATCATCTTAAGTTTTAAAAATATAACTGTCCGAATTTTGATTAGTCCGATATTTGATTGTTTACTCTAGGTAGTTGTTGTGTGTGTCTGTCATTCATTCATTCTGTACAACTGAAATTTGTTTTTAATAAACAATAACTTTAGCACAGCGTGTTTTAAGCTCCTAGATCTTCCTTTTTGACGTGAAAAAGTCTTTCTTAACTGTTCTGTGTTGCTCAAATACAAGTGCTAGGTACAGAAGCTTCAAAGTAAGAAAATCGAGTAGTTGGGCCAAGTTCCATTGTGTTGGCACTTTAGAGATAGCTGATAGCATTTTTCAGTAGATTAGAACATGGCCTTCAAATAATATGAACAGATTTTTCTAAATCTTACTTGATGAAGAGTTATACTTACCGGGCTTGAAATTGTTGAGGTCACTCGTTTGTGCAGCGCTAGAGCAACAACTTGCTGGGTTATAGATACTAAAGTACCTATACTATCTCAAATATACAAAGGCAGCAACTTTTTTTGTCAGCAAGTTTATCATATATTGCTGATTAGTAAAGAAAAAGTGAAGCTTCTTTCTCACATGGTCTTCTTGCTGCCAATCGTTCCAGTATGATGGAATGCCACACCTTTCAATCTACATGCATGGAGGGGCTGGAGCTGCTTGCATGTATGTGCTGCAGTGCTGCTACTTCTGCAGCTATTCAAGAGCAAGTGCAACTGCAGGAAGCTAGTGTTGAGCAGACTCTCTTCATGCTGATAATCAAACAGCTATTGCAGTGTGGGCATGCACCATAGCAGCTATAGGGGCGAGGCCATGCACCGTAGGTGTCTCGTTCTTCAGAGTCCTTATGGAGAGCAGTATAATTACTAGCAGTATAATTACTGAAATACATCTATGGTGCCTAATTATAAACTATATATAATACACATAAGTGAATATACTTACTAGACCAGAAAATGTTACTAATGATTTGTTTTAAAGTGTTAAAAAATCATCAATAATGAAGAAAATACTGCCTGATACAGCCTCTGTCAAGCCTGCATCAGTAAAGGAGGATTTTTGTTAGATGACAGACTACTTGGCATCCACCAATCATGATTATACCACATTGGAATGATCCACAAATATTCAGGGATAGTCATAAATCTATAATATGCCTTCAAAGCATTGTCTGTTTCAAGATTTAATTGAATTTGGAGATGCTTTCAAAGCCAACTTTTGGTAACTCTCATATAGGCACAAACGCATGAAGATCGAGAGTGGTGAGGCAACTCAGTTCGAGGCCAGAAATAATACAAATAAAACAAAATGGTTTTAAAATTTACAAACATTTATATAACTGGGATGTTAGTCTATTATGAGCATGTTGTGTTGATTAATTTAAAAATAGCAATAGTATTTTCTTTAATAAAATAGCGTCGGAACAAGACTCTTTTCTTTCATCTAAAAATAAAAACCAGAAATAATGAAAATATAATGTTATAAATGTTATCCTTAACTTATTCTGATTAAGTTGTCCTTCTAGTTCTTTGACTCTTTTTCGTAAATTTAAAATTATCTCTTCAGGTGGTTCCTTCTGATCAACACTGTTGTTTGTTAGTGCATGAGAATTACTTGGAGCAGCTGTAGCTCCACTTTGAGAGAAAACTTTCTCTCCTTGAGGATCAAGATATAAACAAATCATCTAAACAAAGGAATAAAAATAATGGTTATTCTTGTGAGGCTTCTATCTCACCTTAGGAATAAAGATGAGTCCAAGAAACAGTGATGCTTCAATAACCAATCCTAATCCAAACAATGCTGAATAGGTATTATGACGAGTTGCAAGAGTAAACTCAGTCACTGTGAACAAAACTAGTATGATGCTGTTTATGTAAATGATTGCAG